CGGGGGTAGCCAAGGGAGACGTCGCAGAGAAGGTTATCGCGGGAGTTCGGGATCCTGACTCTCTCTAGGTTAAGGGAAGACTGGCCCTTGATGAGAGGAGTCATGGACACGTGCTGCCGTTGCTCTCTGCTGACCAGATGATAATCCACTGTGTCGTTGGTGAGGGTCGCTGCGGATATGGTAACTCTTGATAGAGCATCGGTGGCCTCGTCCACGCCCCCATTGTGCTGGATGTCCATCATGAACTGTGAGCTGTAGTCCAAGTGGCGGTCCTCACGAGGGGATTGGCGGCGGGTCCTCGAGTGTATGGGAAAGGTGAGGGGTTTGTTGTCCATCAGGATTTGGAATTCTTTTGCCTCCACATACGGCTGCACCAATGGCAGTGTCGGAGGCATTGAAGGCTATGCTGAGAGGAGCCTAGGGCAGGGGGTGGTTAAGCAGGGTGGTGGAGGCCAGGGCTTCTTTGCAGGTTTTGAAGGCTTCGTTTGACGGGGAGGTCCACTCGATTTTGGTGTTTCTGCTGGCCCTGTTAGGTGTTATCAGGGCGTGAAGGGGCTTGAGGAGAAAGGCACACCCGGGCACGAATCTTCTGTAGAAGTTAAACATGCCCAGGAATTTCCGAAGCTGTTTCTCGGTCGCTGGCCTGGGGAACTTCCTTATAGCGGTGACCTTCTCCTGTGCTGAGGTGACGCCTTGAGTGGTGACGGCATGTCCGAGGAAAGAGAGGGAAGGAACACCGAACTTGCATTTTCCCGGGTTGATGATGACGCCCGCTTCTTGCAGTCTGCCGAAGAGGGCGCGGAGATGGCGGGCGTGGTCTGCCTCTGAGCCACTGGTGACGAGGATGTCCTCAATGTAGGCGAAGACGCCGTCAAGGCTGCGAGTCAAGTCGTTGATGAACCGCTGGAAGGTCTGAGCGTTGTTGCGGAGACCGAAGGGCATCTTAAGGAACTCGAACAGGCCGAAAGGTGTAATCACGGCCGTCTTGGGTATGTCCTCCTCAGCGATCGGGATTTGGTGTAAGGCCCGCACGAGGTTGATTCTGGAAAGCACCGTACAGCCAGACAGCTCGTGGGAGAAGGAGTGCAAGTGCGGCAGGGGTATCTGTTGGGGGCAGTGATCGTGTTCAGGTGACAGTAATCACTGAATGGGCGCCAATCACCGTCCTTCTTTTTCACTAGATGCAAAGGGGCTGACCATTGGCTGCTGGAAGGGCGTATAATCCCCAACTGCATCATATGGTTGAACTCCGCCCTGGCAGTTCGACATCTGTCAGGGGCGAGCAGAAGGCAGCGAGAGTGGGCAGGATACGTAAGTCACGATGTTAGCGTTTATCCCTGTGGGAGGCCGGGAGGAAGCTGACCTCGGCTCCTGTGTTGATGAGGAAACGTAAGGAGGAGGAAGCATCTCGGACGTACAATAAACGCCTTTGAGGTCCGCAAAAGACAGGCGCGCCCAGTTTCTGCGATTTTCTCCAATCTTTGTGAAGGAATGTGGAACCGAGGCTGGTGGTTGGGCATTGCAGTTTCTGAAGTCCCGTTCAAAGCATGGCGGGGAAGGGGTGCGAAAGCAAAGCCGGGAGTGAGAACATTCCTGTGTGGATATCTTCTGCACAGCCTCGGATAGTGTGGCGACATGGGCGGCAAGGGATCCCGATGTCACGGCGGAGGTGGTGGTTGCGGCAGACACTGTTGCCAGAGACAACGTGGGTGCCCTAGCTGTGAGCATCGCGTCAGCTTTTTGGGCAAGTTGCTCTAATGGGGCATTTGACATCAGCAGGATTTGCTGGATATCAGCGGGCAGCCACTTGAGGAAGAGGGAGCGCATGACGTCAGGTGGGAGCGTCGTGCAGGTTCGGGTGAGGAGGCACTGGAAGTGGTGAAGGATTTCTGTGGGGGTACGGCTGTCCGTGGTGTCAGACGAGAGGAAGGAGCTTAATGCGGTTAGAGGGTTAGGTGCTGCTCGCCTAAGAATGGCCTCCTTAAGCTCGTCGTAAGTGGCGTACCGATGATTATGCAGGAGGTTGCTGACGGTCAGAAGGAGTAGTGGTGGGAGGTTAGTGACCAGCAGGCAAAATTTAGTGGTGTGGGTTGTTATATTCCTGAGGAGGAATTCCTGCTCCACTTGAAAGAACCATTCCGGCAGGCTGCCCAGAGAGCAGGCTGGTAGCGTCCTGTGTGTTGCTGACATCTTGTGTAAAAACTTGTCACACTCCGAGGGTCACCAGTGTTGTGGTTATAAAACTGAACTGGATTTTTATCTCTTTATTATTGAGGAACCAGGTACAAGTGTTGTCAAGTCAACAGCTGAGTGGAGAATGATGCTTTCGCCTCAGGTCCGGCGGCTTAAGAACCTGACCGCTGATGTCAGCTTGGCCGATTTGGGCATTTCTACGGCGGGAGTCGGCCAATCTCGAGTCAGGTTCGGTCCTGCGTTGACGGCCAATCAGGAGCCGCTACAATCCCTAAACATATAATTTTTTATTGGGAATGCACAAAACGAATGCGACAGCTTTTTGAACTCTAAATGAAGAGTGCGCACACAAACGAGCTCAAAATTTTATATAGTTTTTATTTTAGAGCAGGTACTACTGAGTACTATCATCTTCAACATGAAATAATCTGTATCTCACTTATACATCCGAAGTTCAAAAATCCGACATTTAGGTAACATTCGTATTGAATTGGTCTTTACAACGGTAACTACTAATTTCAAATCAAATCAAATTTACCCATGCTGTGATGTACTGACCGTTGAGCGAAATGTAACGGAAATATTTCAGTCCTTACTTATAAGGCTATATTCAAACATTAGTGTTTCGTACATGATATACATACTGATCACTTCGTAAACTAAAACATATTACGAGGGAGTCTCGATCGTAGCATATTTCGTGTGTAAAAGGACATAAAACTTTCACAATTTATATTTTCATAAATTATTTTGTCATAAATCACCGTGATATAATTTTTTTTCTGATATTGGTATAAAAGTGTTCCTTGAATATTTACGAACTCATATCTATGTGCAATGTTATAATCAAATGCCGTATGCACGATTGCAGCAAGCAGAAGTCCACATAGCTGTACCTGGGTACTCATTAGGGATGTACCTCTCCAAGTGTTCAGCGGGTCTCACATCGGCTGCAAGACAGTGAGCCATAGCAGGCGGTTAATACTTGTTTAGTAGTTTTCTCATCCATGTACCTATACTATACGCTAGCTAACTCAATTTGACCCCCCCCCCCTCCTCTGCGACGGTCCCCTTAAGCTTTTTTGAGGGAATGATTTTTCTTTCATAACTGCTAATCTAAAGAATGACTACTCAGCCTAAACAGCCTAGATTAGTCTCAGCTGGTGTGATGTGTTGAGAAATCATTACAACATAGCAACAATTTAGGCATGATGTGATAAGATGTCAAATGTCATGACTGGGTCAAAGAGGCTGTGGTTGATACCCAGTTGAAATTTAGTAATGGATGATATCATCTTCGATTGCATTTGGAAAAACTACTATCATGAACAATATCTTCCTTGGGTAACTGTTGCTTTCTTGGGGTAACTGTCTAACTGCTGATCCATCAGTAACTGTTGCTTTCTTGGGGTAACTGTCTAACTGCTGATCCATCAGTAACTGTTGCTTTCTTGGGGTAACTGTCTAACTGCTGATCCATCAGTAACTGTTGCTTTCTTGGGGTAACTGTCTAACTGCTGATCCATCAGTTGCATTTGTTTCATGTACTCATGGAGCATATGTTTCATACTCTTTTAACATTACCTTTCATTTTTTCAAACCTAATTTCAACAATTATAAACAGAAAGTAAAATGTGAATGTCTAAAACAGTGTTAAAGTTATGAGTGAATATTACATTATTTATTTTTCAAAAACTGAATGAGGAGAATTTGAATAAATTTGGTGACGTCACACTCGCATCTATGAATTCTATGAAAGTACTGTAACCTCAGTTTCATGCAAATATGATTAGCTATACATGAGTAAATGTCATTATGACATTTTGTATCTGAAATACTGAAAAATGTATAAATAAGATATGTGCATAAATTTTCTGATACATTGTAAATATATGGGATTTCATAAATTTTCTGATATATTGAAAATAGATGTGATTTTATAAATTTTGTTATATTGAAAATAGATGTGATCTCATAAATTTTCTGATATATTGAAAATAGATGTGATCTCATAAATTTTATGATATATTAAAAATAGATGTGATATAAATTTTATGATATATTGAAAATTGATGTGATCTCAATTAAACAGTAATTTGATTTTTCAAATTACTGTTGTTTGAGATGATAACAAAATTGAAAGTAATTATGAAATTCCTAAAACTTCAATTTATTTTTCTTAAATACCATATATTTCATGAATGACACAACATATATATAGACCCCCTATATGAAGGCATGAACATCTGAAGCTGTTCTTAGACCATTATGTACATTTATGTTTTTTTTTTTTTTTTTTTTTTTTTTCATTATTATTTTTTTTAGATTTACCCCACATTATTTTTATTCTGAGGTATTTATAGGTCAATTCTGAAGAGACATTAAAAAAAGAGAATAACGTGTGAGGTATTGAATATCTCTTTTAGATGTAGCAGCCTGAATTCTTATTGATCTGGACTGTGAAAGTGTCCCATTACATACTTAAACTTAATTTTACATTATTTTGTTGATTATGCAACATCAGATGTCTATTTTTTGTACATTTTTGGCATATTTTAGCTCTACTCAAGTCCTCTTTAATGGTGGTTAACATTTACTTTTGCTATTATAAAATGAACCTAAATGCTGGATGGCAAGGATCCATGCCATGCAAAACAATTGTATAAGGTTCTTTGGCTATGATTCCATTTACAGTTATAGTTATATATTATTGTTGATCCATAATACCACACCATTTGATCTTATGAGGTATGAAAGGATTTATGAATAAGAGACATAAATAATTCATAAACCATATATATTTTCAGGTTGATGCAATGTTGGTGGCATCAGGGCAGCTCAAGCTGTCAGAGCTTCACAAGAACCGGACCAAAAACAGTAAATCAAATGACCTCTCCATTGAAGAAGTTGTTATTAATGATGCCCCCATGAGTGCCAGGAATTTCCTTACTAGGTCATCAACACAAGAGGAGATTAGTAAAGTAAGTAGTATTAAAACAGACAGAAAGAGTTGAATAGGAGATAGATGCCTTTTTGTGTTTTAGATAGATTGCATCCCAACTCTCTTCATGCAGTTTTTTTTCTTGTTTTGTTTGGAGTCAAGAAATACAAGGTTTCCAATCAAACCCAGCCATTTTGAGGGAGGTGGTGGTCACTGATAACCTTCTTTGTGAGTTCATTATATCCTTAGAAAGAAATACCTAGTTCCAAGAAAACTGCTTATTGTTTAGTTGTACTGCTTTAATCCTTTTGATCTTGGTTTTTTGCTGCCCACATATTGCTGTAAATCTGGGGATTAGACTTACTTTAGTGGCCACTGTCATGGCACGAACACTTGTGTGACATCAAGACTCCTTGCCTCTCCTTTGCATTGTTATCTCGTACTCTATAAGTATTTTTTGCTTTTTGACCATTTTTCAATGCCTATATTTGTCATCCAGTTGGTAACAGACTGTTTTCCTTGCACACACTCCAAATCATCTCTTTAGGTTGTTCATAACTTGATAGTAACAATTATTATCTTTTTGTCAGCAGTGTCATTTTAAAATTATTTTGTGGTAGTCAGCTTTCTGTTTTACAATTTTTTCCTGATGATTCATTATGTGATGGTCATATTAACCTGATCCAAGGGGTTAACCCCCACAATCCATTATGTCATGGAAAAAAATGACTTGAGGGATGGATAACATGCTGTCATGGGAATATTTTGGCTAAGGACAGGAACTTGTTATGAGGATTTTGGCTGAAGGCCAGGGTGATGAGAATGACTTGCCACAAGTGTGCAAATCTCTTGGACGGTGATTAGACTCTATGAGCACTTAGGAAAGGCCTTTGCATTAGTTCCATTGATAAACAGGTGTGGAATGTACCACTTATGAGCTATGACTAGAAGAGTGCCAACTATTTCCATGTTCAAGATCCTATTCTTGCCCACCATGTCTGGCAGTGCAGTATGTATTACAGAAAATTGAATATTAGAAAAAAAGACAAATAACAAAACGTAACTTAATATTATTATTGATAGAGATGATAAACCAAATCAAATATATAGACTTTGGAAATTGACAAAAAAGTAAAAATGCTAATGCCTAAAAAGAGAAAATAACATTGCAAAAGAGGCATGGAGTGTTATCACTGCATATGAGTATTCTTGTGTGCCTGGCCTACAAGCCGCACACCTATCAAATAGGGCTAATGTTTATTTGAGCCACATGATGGCAATGAAGCTTCCAAATCCAGTAGGTTGATATGTCTACCAGGTACAGAAAATATGGATCTTTAAAATCTGTCACTGAAGGGTCATGGCCATGTTGCAAACTTCGTTTTGTTGTATTTCAAATTATCTTCATATTCTTATATCACTCATTAGTTAGTGGATATAGGCTTAAAAATTATATTTCTTTTTACATTGTAAAAGTCATATTTATTACTTAAGCATCATTACCACCACCACCATCATTACCACCACCACCATCACCACCACCACCACCACCACCACCATCACCACCACCACCTTCATTACCACCATCACCACCGCCTTCATTACCACCACCTTCATTACCACCACCACCACCATTACCACCACCACCACCATTACCATCACCACCACCATTACCATCACCACCATCACCACCACCACCTTCATTTACCACCCACCACCACCACCATTACGACCACACCACCACATCACCACCACCACCACCACCACCACCACCACCACCACCAGCACCATTACCACCACCACCACCACCATTACTACCACCCCCACATTACCACACCACCACCACCATTACCACCACCACTACCACCATTACCACCACCACCATTACCACCACCACCACCATTACCACCACCACCACCATTACCACCACCACCACCATTACCACCACCACCACCATTACCACCCCACCATCATTACCACCACACATTACCCACCACCACCACCATTACCACCACCACCATTACCACCACCACCACCACCCACCATACCACCCACCATCATTACCACCACCACACCACCACCACCATTACCATCACCACCACCACCACCACCACCACCACCACCACCACCACCATTACCACCCACCACCACCATTACCACACACCACCATTACCACCACCACCACCACCACCACCACCATTACCACCACCACCACCATACCACCACCACCATTACCACACCACCACCACCATTACCACCACCACACCTTACCACCACCACCATTACCACCCCACCACCATTACCACCACCACCACCACCACCATTACCACCACCACCACCACCATTACCACCACCATCATCATTACCACCACCATCATTACCATCACCACCATTACCACCACCACCACCATTACCATTACCACCACCCACCACCATTACCACCACCACCACCACCATTACCACCACCACCACCATTACCACCACCACCACCACCACATTACCACCACCACCACCATTACCACCACCACCACCATTACCACCACCACCACCATTTACCACCAACTACCATTACCACCACTACCATTACCACCACCACCACCCACCACCATTACCACCATTACCACCACCACCACCATTACCCACCACCACCACCACACCACATTACCACCACCACCACCACCACCACCACCATTACCACACCACCACCACCACCCACCATTACCACCAACCACCACCATTATCACCATTACCACCACCACCACCATTTACCATCATTACCACACCTTCATTACCCACCACCTTCATTACCGCCACCACCTCATTACCACTCCACCACCATTACCACCCACCCATTACCACCACCACCTTTCATTACCAACCACCACCTTCATACCACCTCCACCACCATTAACCACCACCCATCCCACCACCACCACATTA